AGGTTGCCCAGAGAGGTGGTGGATGCCCCATCCCTGGAAACATTGAAGGTCAGGTTGGAGGGGGCTCTGAGCAACCTTATTTAGTTGAAAATGTCCCTGCCCATGGCAGGGGGTTTGGACTAGATGACATTTAGAGGTCCCTTCCAACCCAAACTATTCTACGATTCTATGATTCTAACTTTGGAAATGTAAAGTCCTTGGCTTTGCAGAGATACGCTGTAAATCCAGGGCAGAAATTGAAGATGCTTGACTCGGATTCAATTTAAGATTGCTTTTTGAATTCTAAATTAGCATTTGGGACTCACCAACCTCTGTTTAACTGAAAAAATTCCAGCCAGGTCTATAGATCCCCTAGTAGGTGATGAGACTGGCAACAAGTGCTGCAATGCTCAGGCGCACTGTTGGGCAGGAGGCGGGCACTGCAGGGATTGTGCCACTGCAAGACAACTTTCTCAGCACTGACAAATAAACTAAGTCAGACTCAGTTCTTCTTTTAATGCTTTACAAGGACTAAACTGCATGTTCCCAACTCAGGAAGCACTCATTAAGGAGCTCAGTAAGGCCAGATGAGCACTTTGGTGATGCAAAGCCTGAAGCCTTTCTACAGAACACGGACTTTGTTTAACAACCCTGCTGCCAAGCCCCGGGTGAGATATGCAGGCGTCGTCACCTCACCTGTGCATCCAGTTCCATGATGTGAGCGACTTTATTCCAGCCAAATCCAACAAACCGCCTGTCATACTCCGGGCAGTCCTTCCTCACAACAACGTATGGCTCAAAGTCTGCTTCCCACTCAACGCGGTAGGGGGTGGTGGCTGTTCGCCACTTGGCAAAGTTCGTTGGCGCATGCCCTTTCGTCCAGACGTGATACCTTAAACAGACATAAATGGCACAGACGTGGGGAGGCAATTAGATAGAACACATCTTGGCGAGGCAACAAAATGTTACTTGTTAGATGAAATGCTCAAAAATAAGGACATTAGCTTATCATTCACATCATCATTTTCAGGACATATCGGAGGCAATTTATAGGACTATTTCCAGCACGCTTCCCAAAGCCTCTATGTGCTCAATGCTTAAACACATCTAGTTGGTGAAGGATAGTGTGAAAACACTACCTAATGCTAATGTGAGAAACAATTACCAAGTACACAGACAGTTCATCTGCACTACAAAGTGCTGTGTCTTGTTCCTAGCAACAGGCGGCTGTATCAGTGCTCTAAAATTGTTGTGAAATTCTGTAGCTCAGATAAGGTCCCCAAAATTAGCTATTTCTACACCACAGTGACATTCACGATCTGTTTTATATGCAATTTTATAATTTGTATGAAAGACATCTGCAGCTTTGGACAGATGTTCCGTTTTATTAATTACCGTTATTACTTGGCAGGAGCCAAAGTGTATAATTCAATTAATAAGTAAAATATTACATAAAGGCTTTCTGCTGTACTTTCTACATTGTGGGGAGTACCCATGTGATCCTGAGTAAGGTAATCAATTTGATTTACAGAAAAAGATCCTTTTATACTTTGTTAATCTTGTTTAGGTCACAGCAGGTCTCTTCCAAGCACAGCTTGAATCCACCTCATTAATGCCAGGGTCAATGACTCCCTCGCCCACTTACTCTTCTTACACCTTTCCAAAAATCAATGAGACAGGCTCTTTCTGCAGACTCACAGATTAAATAATGAAACAAAGGCATAGCAGGCCATATGTATTACAACGCTCTGAGATGTGTAACAGAAGGGGCAAAACAAACATCCTGCCAGTTTGTAATGTAAGGTACATTGAATTCACAGGGATGACTCGTGCTAAAGTAAAGGGATTTGAGCATTAAATATTTGCAGAATTAGGACTTGAGGTAATGTTTCAAGCCCAGAAATTCTCGTAACATTGCAAGAAATTGCTAAAAACAGGGACATAAAATCACAGCCTATGAGTTTCCACTTTGAATGTATATTCGTATGGTTTATAACTAGAAAAACAGAGAGGTGTTCAGCTTCGCTGGCTCTCCTTGTTCAGAGGCAGTGCAGGAGGACAGAATTATTTGAATAGCACTGGAGTCCCAAGTAACGTATGGTTCTTTGAAGGCTGCATTTCTAAACTGTAAACAGGTTGCATCACTTTCAGAAATCTGGCTTGGGGACCTGGAAAAACAAAGTCCTTCAGTATTAAAAAAACTGACAGTGAATTACTTCTCTAGAGGTTATTAGAAACCAGTGCCAGATTCACAAAGATGCTTACAATCCTTAATGTCCTTTGGAATCATCTCCAAAAAGCCTATTCCTTTTCTTGGTCTCTTTTGGAAATGAGTTGGTAACCTACCCAGTCACTAATGGGCAGCTATCTATGCTGGAAAAAAGCACAATCACAATGTGGGGTTTAAAATGATGTGGGATTGTGGAGGATGCTGTATCTTCTAACATCCTACCTCCGGCATTTTGAAATTAATTATGATAATAATAATAATGACTACTAAACACTTATGAAGTGATTTGTATCTTCAAAGCCCCATACAAACTTTGGTTAATTGAGGGATTCCTGCAGAGAAGCAGTCAAATGCTGCTGCTGTTCTAGTAACACTCTCCCACTGATTTAAACAGGGGGGGAACGTGACACTAACCATAAAAACATCAATTTCTTTCCACCCTTTTTGGGGAAACCAGTGTAAGCAGTTACAGCAGCTCAGGTATAATCTCTGGGAGTTGAGAGAGCTGAAGAGCAGGAAAAAAAAATGGGGAAGAGACAATGAAGGGAAAACATGGAAGTGAGATCGGAGAGACAAAACAAAGCAGAAAGGAAGTAATAGACCTGATTGTACCAAACAAAATAATAGCACAGATAATCTACTGGCCTCTTCAGAGTGACTGATGTGAGTGGAGGGCAAGAGGAAGACAAAAGGATGGCTAAGGTCAGGACAAAGTGGAAAATGAGTGCAGGACGCTCAAATAAGGTGTGCACACACTAATTATAAAGGAATAATTAGACTGGAATCAAGAATTGTGAGAGTTCAGGATTACATACATATCTGTACATACAATATATATGGGTCTACACATATACACACACACACACAATCTGCTGGAGCTAGGTCTTGGCCAATGGCTGATCATCACATGAAATGTACTGCAAAGTAAGATGTGCAGACATCATTACATGGATGTCCATGTAGAGGAAGCTACTATAAAAGAGTGAGTAATTTCCAACAGCCTTTACTCTCGGTGACGCAGTTGTGAGAAGTGGTTCGCTGTCTATATTGGTCTTCCATCTCACAGGACAAATGAATAAATCTAATTTTCCTGCTCAGGCCCTTCTCACTCAAGATTTAAATACACATTGAATTTTAAGGCCACACTCAATCTTGCTGACTCCCAGGAGAACTTTGTGAAATTGTGAACAACATATTTTTCACTACGCTGGCAATTTTGACAAATCCAAACCAAATAATTTGATCTCCGTAAAATGATGATGAGTTTCTTTCCCACGGTTCATGGAAAACAACTGTACAACCCCTCCCCCGCTTTGGGTCAAATGTTTCATCTTATTTTCATTATCGATTGCTTTTATTTAAAATAAAATTTCAAAACTATAGTAAACTTCGCTAAAGTTAGCAAAATGAAATCATTATTCTTCTCAGAGTGTTCTTCCTCCCTGCCTTGTCCCTCAAAGCTTCCCGTTTCAGTGAGAAAGATGATTTGGTGAAAGAAAAACTTTCCCAGTTCTGTGCTCAGATGCTTAAATATTTTGCTGGATTGTGGATGCAATCAGTTAATCAGTTAATCAGTTGTTGCTGGTAACGTTTTCTCAATACGATGCGTCTTCTACCAGCTGTGGTATTCCTTGTGCCTGAAAGCTGTGTCGGCAGTACATTTGTGGTTCATCAGCTATTACCCAGGCACCGAGCGGACACATCCTCGTGAGGCACAGTCACAGCCAGCACCTGCAAACAAAGCCAGCAAGCTGGCACAGAGCAACCCACTGCCGCGGAGGGTTTCCACTCAGCACACCTTGCCAGCGTCGATGCTCACGTTTTCCCTTTTCTTCTGGTGGTGACTGGGGGATGTAATTGAGAGCCGTTTTGTACTTCTTAGCTGCCCAGAGGTAGAAAAGGTCACCATTTGGAAAAGAGGTGACAAAAGCAATTTCAGCGAGGGAAAGACTGTAATCTACCATGTGGTGTGAGGGACTGGGATGCTGCAGGCACTCTCAGCAATCACTGTCACAGCAGTCCTCCCCAGCTCACTCCCACCCGCTCAGCCTTGAATTGCAGCATTATTAAAGCACCTTGAAGGTAGAGGTGGAAATTCTCAGCCCAGATCACAGCTGCTTTGTGGCTGTTGATAGATTTGAGCAATGAAATGAGCCAAAACAAACTGGGGAAGCATTTGTAAAATGTGTCCTACATTAATATGTATACCAGCTACACACCGCATGTCCTTCAATTCTTATTTAACCTTGCTCTGGCAAAACTCCCACTGATGTTAAAAGAGATTTTTGCCTGAGTGAGACTTGAGAAAGGATCTGCAAATCCGGCTGTGTATGTAACATGCCAACATGTTGTATAGCTTCAAGATGAAGTCTGTAGTGGAAGGCCACTGCTGTGCAAGCTGAAAATTTGATTGTTGGTGGAATGTAACATCTGAAAATCCTGAGGGTGTTACTTTCCACTGGAAGGATTTTTTCTTTCAACTATGGGAGAAACAATTATTTTCTATCATCAAATCTCTTGTTAATTTGTATGTCTTTGACTGTTTAAAGAATGATGTGAAAGGCATTTGCTCCACCAGCATCCTTCAGTAATTTTCCAGAGAGAGGCATGCCTCTCTCAGCCACCTCAAGTTTCTATTTCAAGGCAGTCACTGGTAGAGGTAGTGTCAGAATTATGTTTTCCAGGCTCACACAGGCTGTCTGCTGTGACATGTGCATGCGGCCACATGAGAGAAGGGTGGCTGCTGCAACGAGAGGTGTGTAATAGAGGGAATGGGAGAAGTGTGAGGAAAGCTCTAAAGTAAGGGAAGGATGGGAGAGGTGGTATAGAGCTCCACCGGCCATGGATAATACCTAGCTTTTTCACAGGTTTTATCTCTAGATCTCAAAATACCGTAAAAAGGAGAGGTGAACATTGTTACCTGCATTTCAGAGATGGAGAATAGAGATGTAAGAAAGCAGACTGATTTGCGTACCACCACCCAGCAGGGCAGTAGCGGAGCTCAGAGGAGAACGCAGGTCTCCTAAGCCCCGTCTCTGTGCAATATCGTAAGGCCATATTGTGCTCTTCCCATCACTGCAATGCTTTACAAATGTCTGCTAATCAGACCTTATCACACACACCCAAGAGACAGTTAATCCCTGGTAGTTGCATTTTAAAACTGAAGAGTCTGGCAGATAATAGAAGTTACTTGTTCACAGCCACAAAAGGAGTCTGCTTCAGAGAGGAGCTCCAAATTTAGGTGTTCTTCGCTTCTCAACTTCTAGTCAGAGTACACTTTTACCTGTGCATTGAGAAACTCTAGCTATTTAAGCAGCTGTTTCACACTTTAAAAGAGCACACGACGAGCCTGCATTTGTTTTTCCAGTAAGTCAGTAAGGAAGTGAACCAACGAGCAGAGAGAAATTATTTTTGGTCACATGAGGGACACAGCTATCCGGATAGTATTTGGCAGCCAAAAAGCAAATTACACGCACATGAGTGTAATGGTCGCGCTTGATTTTGTAGCGCAATAAAAAATGATGAAAATAAAACAAATTCAATTTAACAACTGAAGTCCTTCAGTAGAGGATTATAATACTAGATAAAATGCTGAGCTTACAGATGGAATATATCCACATACGATTCTGTTCACTGCCTCTCTGTGAAAAGGGAAAAAAAATTCCAATAGGTTTCTTAATGGAGCTAGCTAGCTGACAGTGAGAGAGAAAAATCAAATAATCACAGAACATCAAAAAAGTCTTTAGAGATAATGACCACAGGTTCAACAAAAGTACTTTCCATTACCTGAATGTGAAGAGGGTTCCCATGTCCAACATAGATAGCAGCTCTGCTTTTGACTTGGGGAAGGAGAGGCGGTAGCGTAGGGTCTCAAAAGCAGGTACAATCAGAGCTTTCTTGGTGTTAGCCAGGTCTAGCTGGATGACGGACTTCCTGGCAAAGAGAAACAACAAATACAAGCAGGAAAATTTTAAACTGAGCAAATCACTTGGCTTTTCAAAGTAAAGAGCAGAGAATGGGCAGTTTGATACTGTAAATGTAAATGGCCCATATTTTTTCCCAGGGGTGTTTCGTGTTTTCCTCTCCTTTCGAATTTGCTGCTCTAAGAGCAAGGAGAACGATCACAGTTCAAAAAGAGCTTGCGTGTTTGACTGATCAATGCTGCCCTGCATGTCCAGGGGTGCACAGAGCTGAACTAGCACTCTGAGCATGGCCAAATGACCACCTCTGCAAGATAAACATAGTTGAATGTTACTACATATGTGGTAAAGGGCTGCCCAGTCAATGGCAGTTCTAAAAAAATGCGATTTATCCAGGACTCAGTGGGACTTTACAAGGTAAGGAGCCGGAAAGATTGGTCGTATTTCAGCCTAGCTATTCTCTGTGCTATGCTGTGCCATCATACTTGCTTTCTACCTCTGCTTTAAAGCTCTGTGTGTCCTGCAAGGTGAGCGTTACCTTAACACCACTATGGACCAGATATTTGCCCTCAAGAACACTGTTGCCATGATGGTCAGTCTTTGTTCAAGGCAAGGCACAGATCTGCTGCAACAGGACATGGTGCAAATCAGCAAAACTGTAAATTAGCAGTATTTTTTTGACTATTGTTAATCATGTGCATGGTAGTGCCCAGAGATCAAACTCATTTGTGCTTGGCTCTATATGTAGGTCAAAGAGGCTGTTTCCTGCAGAGAAGAGCTGTGTACTGGATGTGCTGATATACCTTGCTTTTTGCCTTCTTTTGCTGCAAGTTCTTCAGTGCAGAGACTGTTTTGGTGTGTGAGAGTGTGTGTGTGCACATACTGCATTTTGCACAGTAGGGCCCTTCTCCAGACAGGGGCCTTAAGATGACTGCTGCAGGAGAGCAACAGCTTAGCAACCTTAGGCCTGTCAGAAGTATTCAGTCTATTCTTTCCTAACAAACTAAAACCCAAAGACAAAGAAAAAGAAGTTACTTTTCCATCCCCAAACTGAATCTTACTCTGCTTGTCATTAGAAATAACTCTGTCTCGATTTTCCTTTCATTATCTTCATATTTCATATGAGAAATATGCCTCTCTCTCCCTGTCAAAGTCAGTTCCCCTTAACAGGATTCACTGTCCTGACTTTTATTCCTGCAACAAGCAATCAAGGACAATGTTGACAAGCAGCAAGCTCTCTACAGCCTTATAAGATGAAGGAATTTGGATCACTGTCATAATAACAGGACCAAATAAACCACTTTTCTAGGCCCAGAATACCTAGAAGTCATTTATATTGCCATCAGAGACAAAGAAGAAGAGAAGGGCTATTTAATAAAATCTGAATTTTAGAGAATTCACACCACCCTATAGGCCTGTTCTATAAAAAGAAATCTGTTCTCAGCGCCTTACTACAAAGTTTGCATTGTTTAAAGAACCCCTGCCACATTCCAGTGAACTTTTCACAACTGAAGGATTTTAACAGCATCTTACTGTAACTTTTTTCTACTTTCCTCACTATCTTCTCCCTCACCATCACTAATAGCCAAGACATCTCCACGTAAATAGATGACTCCTTCACAATCATCCTCCACGACCTTCCAGAATTGCTGAGCAGTGCCAGCATCTATTCTTTAGGATGCTCCTAATGTTTCTTCCCCCTCAAACCTTCTCTGCAAGCAGGGTACACTAACAAAGTTTCTCTGACAACTTCACAGGCTTTCTGGACTCTGTGCAATCTATCAGCCTTGAGAGGTACAGCTTTGGGGATTCAGTTTTAGGAAGGAGCAGGTAACGTTTGCAGCGATGCTCACCCTTTGGGCTCTGCCAGGAAACAGCAGCTTCCATTTATGGCTGTTGCTATCTCTTTGTTTGATGGAGAGCTCAAAAGTCCCAGGCAAAAATCAAGATCCTGCTGTGCCTGGCACTTTTCAAAGAGTAGGAGACAATCCTGCCCACCAAAGTTCACAGTCTGAAGCTGAACAAAGCTGAAGTAGGTATAGATACCAATCAAGGGTTAACAGCAGAGACTGTCAGACAGAGCAAGTTGTGTTGAAACTAGTGTTGGATGTGACTCATTTTGTAAGATACAGGATACAAGCACAAAAATGATGTGGATATCAATAATTCTTTTTGCACACTCCCTACTCTTGTCATCTGCAAATTTAATATAGGTGTCAATGGCAGAACTGTTGGAAAGAATAGATGTCACTATCTTCATGAAGAAAACCAAAAGGCAGAGGGAACAAACTGATACAAGAGGCTGAAATCACTTGCACAGCCAAAGGTCAACATGAAAAGTTAGTAAGTGGAGAGAAGCAGAGGTCTGAAAACAAGGTGCTTGTAGTGGATACAGTCAAACACAGAGAACTGGTGGTGGTACTTCAAGAGTGAAATAAAATAGCGGGATAATCTCTGCACAAATATTTTCAAGAGATATGTGAGCATCTGAGGTGCATGTTGGTAAGGTCAAAGTGGAGGGGTTCACCAAAACTGAGCTGGGAGTTGAGACATGCTCCATCAAGAAGTCCAGCAGCACCGACCCCCGAGTAGAATAGCCTGCCTTTGGTCTGGACTGGATGACATAAAGGACTAATGTAAGGGGAAGAAGGAATCAGTGCTGACATCCAGGTGTTGAACCTGAGTGACAAAGGACAACAGAGGCCATGTAAATTGTGAGAAAGGCAGGGAGGATTTGGTGGAGAAAAAAACACCTTCCATTTTCTTCTGATAACTTGGCTGGTGGTCTGCTCCTCAGACAACCAGCTGAAAATATAACCTCTTCCTATTAGAAGCAATACTTTTCCCTTTCTGTGGGGTGACTTTTTTTCCTGTTTTGAGTGGAGGTGCCATTTGCTGGTTGACTGGTTCTGTGATACTTGGAATAGGAAAATTTTCACTGTTGGTGTTGCAAGATATGTGGAATATAATGTAGGGAATACATTTCATTGTTTTGCACACTAGCACTGGGTCAACTGTTTAATTCCTGCACTATACTTATGAGGGCTATTTTTTGGATTCAGTAATATCGATTCAGTATCCATTTTCCTTTTTCTGTCCTTTTTCCCCAAACGCCAAAATAAGGACATATGATTTTATGAAGAGCTTTCTCTTTGCTATGTTGTCCAGGAAACCGTTTCCCAGGCATCTTTGTGTTCAGACCTGATGTATGTCATTCTGACACAGTGAAGGTTGGGTTAAATTTCTAAATCTACTAATCAACCCTATTTTTCACAAAGCATGGAAGAAATGAGTCTTAAATCACAAGAGTCTCCTCACAGGTTGAATGAACTCCAGGATGTGGATATCAATCTTTTAATCTTCATAGTTCCTTCAAAAAATTAACACAGAATTCTCATCCTCGTGGGGGTGAATAATAATATCATTCCCATTTCTGGAGGATAGAGAAGCTCAGACACAGAAAGGTTAGCAACCTAATCCTAAAGCACTGAATTCAGAAAAAAAAAGAGAGTCCATTAATTCAAATTAGCTTCCACCATCAGGACTCGGTAGAGTGGTTGGTTTGAGATCAATGAATATGGCAGTCACAGAGTTTGTGGTAAGAACTGGAGAGTTGTCAGTCCACTGTTAAATTCATTTGAATGTTCTTCCTCTCTGCAAAAGCAATGAATGCATAGCCTACAAAGGCATCCAACAAATAAAAAGCGATAGGCACAACATGAAGTGTCTCTCTTGCTGAGATGCTGAAGAACAACCAGAAATACTTCACAACTCATGTTGCAGGGGACAGGTATAAAACCTGCAGATAGAACTTGGATGCCAGCTCCCAGTTCATGCTAAATGTGTCACTGGAAGCAAAGGGCATATTTTACACAAATGTGTCAGGGAAGAACTTCAATGCTAGCTGTGGCAACTGTAGATAGCCGGTCTAGTTATTTTATGTTAGAAGAACCTTTAGGATGACCCACACACCTTACTTGTACCAACCAGAAAGAGCCTCTACCTCTGGGGCAATGACAAGATGACCTCAGTTACTAATGAGGGAAGGTGACAAAAGACTTCGACTCAGCACAGACGGTGAAAGTGTCTGAGTTTCGTAAACAGGAAATCTTTAAATGATACATTTCTTTCCTTTTGTACTTCACAGAAGAGTAAGGTAGGACAAAAAGGGGGTCTGATGGAGATTAAAAGCATTGAAATGGTCTTACTTGGCAGGTGTGAAAAAGCTCAATTAGCACAAACCTAAGTGCTAGCAACAGATACCTAGAGCTTCAGGTAACCATCAGTTCCATCAGCTTCTCCTTCAAAACTGGCCATAACCTTTCACATACAACACTTTGAAAATATGTTGAAAATGTTTTTCAAAATTCCTTTCTTTCTGAGAATATATTGTCTGTAGAGACACAATATATATAAATCAGCAAACTTGCAGTGAGAGGGACTTGTCTGGCTCATCCTGTACAAAGCGATGCCTGAAACACCACACTATTTCTATTTGCTTATGGTTGTTCTATCTGAGGAAATGAAGATGAAAATGTTTGTACATCTCTCTAACAAACAATCACTGCCATTCAGATAGCACTAATCAGCTACTTACAGAAGTGGTGGGAACAGTCAATGCAGAAAGATACAGGGTATCCGTATTTGAAATAATCTCACTGTACCTCCCTGCTATTTTGCTGATAAAAATCATTATTGAAAAAGCAGCAAAAGCCTCTAGTCCACATGCAAAAAATATCCAATCCCTTTTTAAAGAGCTGGTAGTAGCAGATTAGCAATTTTGATATTCCCAGGCAACAGAGACTCCCAGTCAGAGTTAAGGTGGTATAGGCCTCACAAAAGGCTGGTAGAATAACACAAGGTCTCGGATGCAACAGCTTTCAGTGCAAATCTGTTTTTTTTCTGAAACAGCACCAATGTGTGGCATCACTGTGCATTTAGCCCTGTAATACATTATCACCCTATGAGAATTATTTTTGTGGTTGTAATATCTCAAGTATATTGTGTTACATCATTCTGCCTTCTCTCTTCTCTTCTTCCTTTCAGTGCTGGCTCCCATCAGTGCACTGCAAAGCAGCATGGAGGAACAAGTTGCTTTTTTAGCACTACATGCCAGTATCAACAGCTGCTATCCTTATTGTGTCCAACATCGATCTGAAGAAATGTAACAGCATGCAACACTAACGTCAAAGAACAGAAAAGCTAACAACTGTCCCTACATGTACCTTGAGAGAGCTAATGCATGCAAGGGACAGAATTATTTTGGAATCCTCATAGCACAAGTCAAAAAGAAATACCCCTAAAGTAAGTGGGAAACAAGCTGACACAGTGCGATAAAACTTCCATGATATTATTGAAATCCAGTGTCTTAAAAGCCATAGTGAATTTGGCCCCGTACATGGAAGCAGAAATTGAAAAAGCCAATTAATTCTCCACATGGGGGAGAAGTGAGAAGATGCTTACTGAGTTGTTAAACCTGAAACAAAGGAATTCCTCTATGAGTCTATGATACCGGGAGGTATATTTCCCTTTACACTCCAAAAGCCCGGGCCTACGGACTGAAAGGGGTCAGACAGACCCTCACTGGAACACTTTGATCAACTTTTACCAAATTAGAACAGAGAAGAAAAACAAAACTGGTCAGGACTAAGGAACTGAAATCCTCCTGTCTGGCCACAGGGTGTCCTCCTTGCTCTATGCTTTGGCCTCAGATGACCAGCCTCTGCAGGGGAAAAAGGTCTTTATTAAGAAAAGCTCAGTTAATGGATCAGAAGTCTGTAGTTTGCTCAGCCCAACCTGCTCACATTCATTATGATACAATACACACTGAGCTAACTCATCCCAGTTTCCTTATGCTAATTATTTCGCCTTGACCGGTGCTGGTGTTGCAGTCGTATTTTTGAGCTGGTTTGACTACCACCCTCTTTTCAAGATATGGAACTGGATTAAGAATGTGTCACAGGGACAACAAGTTCAGTAATGCTTTGCATGTTTTTCTGTCATTGACATTAAGAACCAGGGATGTTTAGGGAAATCGTCTGGTTCACATCTCCGCTAATACAGGATGCTCTTGCACATATTTAGTCCAGATCAATTTTCAAATTGATTCTTCTGCTGCTCTGAGGGAATTATTCTGATGGCTAACAGGGCTTACATTTACACCTGAGTTTTTTCTTTCATAACTGTATTGCTTTACTTCCAGTTACAGCCCCTTCCTCTACCCTAAAAATTCTTGTGCCTTACTGGCATTCTCACACCTTAAAACACCTATAAGCTGCCTTTTCAGATCTGCTCAAACTGCATTGTTTTGGGAATATGTGAGAAGGGTGGGGTGTGGTGGGGCTGAAAACACGGGTGACAGTGGGAATCCCTCCACTGTCCATTTACCTGAGGTACTCGTAGAGTCCATACATAGGCAAGAAGTCAATGTCAGACAGAAACATGTATGGTGTGCTGATATGCTTCATGGCCACATTCCTTAGCAGATTCACAGGATAGAACTGGCCCTCCTTGTACACGATATGGTAGCCAACATTGTGGCGGCTCATAAGTACTTCTGAGCCCTGGGCGTAGCGCAGAAATTGCTGGGCTTCTGCATCAGAGAGATAGAGTGCCAGGCTGATTGGACCTTCCCAGTGTTTGCAGATGGCTTCAAGCATCTGGAGCCTGAAAGAGGAAGGGTGAGAATAAGAAAAGGCTGTCTCCCTGTCTGGGACCCTTTGCCTGGGTTCATCTGATCAAATGCAGATATCTACCCCTGAGACAGATTGGGGTTGCTTTATATGCTGTGGAAAGCAATAAATATTTCTACAGCACAATTCATCTAATCTAAATTGATGTCTCCTTCTGGACAGATGGACTGCACCCTAGATAGGCCTACTTCTCTCCACTGAATACAAGGGAGCCTAAGACGGCCCTAGCTCAGATACACACATCCACAACTCAGATACCTAAAGCTAGGTGAAATCAACACTATCCTTTCTGCTTAAAGCATTGATGGTGCAGGAAAACCCACATGGATGATGGGACTTCATCTCATGGGAGCTTTGAGCAGTTGCAGGGATCTGTCCATGTGGATCTACTTACAGGATACAGGTCTTGTACTCTTAAACAGTGTCTAGTGCCCAATTCACACTTCAGGTCAAGCTATTCTCACGCACAAACATACTACAGTGCTCTTCAACAAGCTTGTGGAGGAGAAAGGTGTACAGACCCACAGATCATTTTACCTCCTGTTTAGGAAAACCTTCCCCCAATTTTTGCAAGGCAGTTAGTCAGATCTTAAAAGCTGTTAAAAGTGATAGGTCAAGGGAATACTGACTTACATGAACATTTGCATTGACTAGAAAACTCACTGTTAGGGAAAGGGCAAAAGGATGACGCATCGATAGAAATGGGATTTACTATGTGTAGGGAGTAAGGAGAGAAGGAGGGAGAGACATGGCATTGCTGTGGAATATCAAAAGAACATTTCAGACAAAACCATCATTTGAAGTACTAATTTGTATATGTTTTAGCAGTATCTCAAATTTCATGAAATCATTTTTGAAACAGGTTGTATTGATGTATAGTTTTTAGAACTTCCAGCAGTTACAATACTATTGATGAAAATGACAACAAAAGATCTCATACACAAACATAAATCAAATCCAGCCTGGTCAAAATCTTTTAAGCGCTTTGGGTAATTTATAGAGAATTGCCTAGAGATTAAGATATGACACCCAAAAATACAGCAAGGACTGATTACAAAGCCTCTTGAGTTAATACAAAGGGAAATGAACCTATGCAGCCTAGCCAGATACTCTATTAAAAATTAGGAAGAGTAGACTATGCAACATGATTACCTTATCTCCCTTCCAAATCCACTTTACTAGATTTTTCCTATTAATATTTATACAGAACACAAGAAAAGTTTTCTGCATCATCGTAATCAGAGAAAATAATTTCCCCCTCCTACTATCTCCCTAAGCTTTGCAGCAGAAAGGAATGATATACTCATACCAGCAAACACACATTCTGATTTAACATTAATAGCTTTTTCCTGCATTTCTGAATGATCGTGGTGACATCCAAGATGATATAATCCTTTTTTTCTTAGGTATATTACCTTTACTAGTTTACACCTGGTACATTATTTTCTTTTTATCTATTATTGAAACAAAGGTTATTATCAGCCTGAAACATACAGCCAAATTAGAAACACAAATCGATAAAAATGATCTAAAAAGTATGTGAAGGCTTTAGGCTTTTGATTGTACAAACAATAAATAGAGAAAAATACTTCTTTTTTTTTGTCTTTTCCCAACACATCAGAAACCTATTAATCAGGAGACTCCAGTTCACCAGCACTCAGATTTAGGGCAGCCTTTTAAAAATGGAATACTTGCCTCGCAAGAAATGCAGCAAAATGCCTTTCAAGGACTCCAAGCAGTGAACAAATGGCATACATAACTTATTTAAATGGCACACCTGATAATGCCTGCAAAGCTTTTCACGATAGTTAAGTGGGAACTGAGTTTTGCTGGTATAAATTTCCAGCTGGACAGCTTACTGCCCTTTAGAATACTCCATTTTGCTGCATCGTTCTCATTGACAGGCTCCACTTCCACGAGTTTGATACAGGGACTGCTGGGTGATGCTCCATAATCTACTGTCTGTAGGTTGTTACAATAGTCTCCTTTGACCATAAAACTTAGAATTACGAGTTTCTAAGCACAACGTGACCAAGGTATTTTGGTTTTGTTAGTGGTCTTGAGGAATGTGTTCTCTTAAGGACTCTAGAGAAAATAAATATACTCCTGTAGTGCATAATAATGAGGTCATAATTTAGTTGGTAAATTTTTGTAGAAGTCTCTTTCAGACAAGATAATTCTGCTGGAATTCAATAGTTTTGTGAGATTATTTGTTTTCACTTTTCTTCTTAAGAATACTCAAGCAATTTACAACTCATTCTCACCCAGACTTCAATCAGTGTAATGCTTATCCTGTCTTTCCTTGTCCACATCCTGATCTCACAGTTTTGTAACTCCCACTCTGATTTCTGAACCCCAGGTACATACCATGCCTTTAAAAAGGCTGCCTAACCAAAACACATGCATGAAAACCACAGTGATGCAACCAAGCCGTTATCCAAGAAAATGTCACACCAGAATAAAAGGTGACAATTAACTGATAACGAACAACACTGGATGAAGTCTGTCTCAGAGCTTCTATCTAAAGACATTAATTAATAGACAGCTCCTAAACTGCATACCTCTCTTCCATTCCCCAAGCCTATAGCACAAGCAAACATAAGCCTGTCACAATAGGCATGTCAGTCCCAACTCCAACAGGACTATAATTGGAGACACTGGGAGTTGCTTTTTTGCCTCTCCTCATCCCGAATGATTATTTGAAAGAATGATGCAGGACTGTAGCGTATAGCACATTGTTAATGTACATGTCCTCTTACATCTGAGACCCTATTCTTAAATGTCTACAGCTATGCTGGAGGAGTTTAATAAAACTGGTTTAAAGAAGATAAAAAAAAAGGCAGTAACTGAAAGATGTGGAAGAAAACAAAGCAGCTAAACAGTTCTTTGGTATGATATTATTTATTGATTTTAGCTGAAAGAGAGTATTTCCAACTCAAATCAATAATTTATAGCAACACACCAACGAAGTAGGGAAGGCTTTTCCTGCGCAGTATCAGGAGGGCTGTTCTTCCCGAATAAAAATGTGTGGTTCTATCTATCAATAAAAATGTGTGCCCCAGTGCGGATCCAGAAAGGGAAACAGATGCTCAGACTTTGCATCAGTGCCAATGAATCAGCACTGAGCCCCAGCTCATTGTTTTGAATTAAATTCTGGGGGGAAAATACACCATGTGCACACATCAGCTTTAATAATTTACTGTGGTACTCGCTCAGGGTCTGGCTTAATTTATTTCTTTAGTTTTTTACTCAAAGGTTTGTGAACACTTAAGAAATGTTTCCTCAATTAAAAATCAATAGAACAAACACTGATGTGCATAGCAAATCATAACACAATGTGCAGGATGCAGTGCTGAGGCACTGGCGAAACAGAATAGCCCTCATTTGTTCGTGTTTATTTTTAAATCAGGCTGTAAACGTTTTGTTGATCTGAATTCTTCTGACTCTCCTGGAATACTGCTGACCTTCCACTGGTGTAGCAGTGGTGGTATTCACGAGTCATGTTGTATGCTGTATGTGCTCTGCTAAATGACATATCAGTTTCTGGCTAATATTCAAGCAGTTCTGACCTGTTTTGTAACCAACTCTGATAGCAGTAACTGCAAAGTTTGGACTAGATTTGAACTGTGAAGCAGGAGAAAAAAGGAGACTGACAATGCAAAATTTCACAAAGCTGGCTGATCTGGACTGCACTTTCAGAGCTTCTGAAAAATGTCAGCTAATTGCAATGGTGGGAATCAGAAAGGTTCAGGTGGAGCTTGTCATGAAATGTATTTCTTTTCCCAAATGAAATACCAGTTAAATTCCACTTTACATCAGAAGCGAAAGTTGAAAAGAGTTAAACTAGAAACGTTATTCTGAAAATCAACATTGGTATAAAAATGCAATGACTCCTCTCAAAAGGAGATTTTTCATTTCACACTAGCACATTAAAAAAAAAAAGCTTTATTTTCAACTTCCCAATTTGAAACAAAAATATTTAGTTTTGGATTTTCACTGTAAGAAAAATTACTAATTGAAATTTTCTGCAAGGAAGATGCCAATGAAAGCAAAACTAACATTGTCTAATGAGGAAATACTGTGTGTAAAAACTTGGTCAGCTACATCTGCTTGCCTAAGTCTGTTACAAACATCTCCTGTTTTTTCTAAGTTGCCGCAAAACTCCATAAACTAATAATGCCTGACAATCCTGGCAAGTAACAACCCCTGCAGTTCCAGTATGCAGCCTCTCATGAACTCTACCCACACTCGTGTGTGCACAGCAGAGCTGAAGTCTGGATGCGTGTGTGATATCTACATGTGCTACTCCTAATTCAAGAAAGGTCTTACAGTATGACATGCAAGTGTCTACAAAAGAGAGTTTTTTCTCTCCCCAAAGCATTCCATAGTTGGATTTCTCTGTAAGAAAATATTCATTGTCTCATGCTTCCCAATGAACAAGAGATTTTCCCTACCTGTCCATTGAAAGCTGAGCCACCAGTGTTACATCGGTGTTGTCTGAAGCAGGCTCATATTCATAATGTAGAAAATACAAATGAGTGCGATGGACGGTGAAACGTTCTCGACGAAATTCATAGCATAAGTCATCCTCGTCCAGCTCAGACAGCTGTTTCTGGAGCTGTAAGGAAAAAGTGGAAACAAAGATAAGTTCTTTGTAATTATTTTAGCAAATCAGAGAGAATGACAAGGTTGGGAACTTGCAGCATGATGCAACGGGGAGTGGAACATACAGAGTAGCAGGGCTTTCCCAAGCCTTGCTCCTGCAAGTCACTGGACAAGAGATTAGAAGAAAGCACTTGTAAGTAAATTGATAAGGCAGACAGACCATTGTGTTATAGTCTATATACTGTATATATTATCTGTATTACGTACTTTCAACATCCAGACTAGCAATGAAACAGTGAACAATCACAAATTTAATAATTGCCAAGTTTCAGAGTTAATGCTCCAACGTGATGCATAATGTCATTCCTTATTAGAAGCAGTGTTTCAAACTACTCGTAGACATACAGCTCCAGTAGAGAAGACTCAGCAGCAGATTAAGCTTGTATGCTGGACTGAGCAATTCCCCTTCTGCTGCCTCTGTTGGAGATAGTAACTGCTGCTAGCAGCATGGACAGACAGCTGGAAAAGTAACATCTTTGATCATTATTCCATCTCTTGAAAATTATGTATCTGCACCAGTTCAATTTTGCAATGAAAATAGTCTTTCAACTGCAGAGGTGCCAGAATTAAGCCTACACTTTTAACAGGATTTATGCTTCTGGATACCTAGTTTGAGAAAGCCAAAGGATGGCAGATTGGCAGAGAACAGGTATTTTTTTGGCTCCCTCGGAAACCAAGCCCCTTCGAAGTCAAAATGGGCATCTCAAAGCAATCCAATCCCGAGTCACCTAGACATGTAGCTTTAAGAGAATAAAAGCTTAGCTCTGGGGAAAGAAGGAAGAGAAAAACTGACCAAATGTCTATGCAGCCGACCAATTCCACCCCTGAACTATATTATTTTAAAGCCAAATATCTGGCTAGATTATTTAAAATGCACTCACTTAAAAGGAAAAAACAGTCACACCTGCTGTAAAATGTACTACAAAATGTAATGAAGATGAAAATTATATATGGTCTTAACATGTCAAATAGAGTTCTGTTGGTGTTGCTCTAAAAGGTTATTAATAAAGGTATGATTTCTATACTGTATTTCTTAAACGCATCCTATAAGAAGAATATGATTGCATATTTATCAGTAAATAAGAAAAATACTCATTTTATAGGAATTTTACAAGCTTTGATAAAAACCACAGTGCACTTCAAAACTGTTTTGTTCAACATGTTATTGAATTATAGACGTTCATCTATATTTAAAAATCTCTTCCTTTTGTCCTGTTCAGAATGATTTAAACTAATAGTTTCACCATCTTCAAGAAAAAAAATGGAAAAGGTAGGTGTTTCTTGTTCTAATACTGTGTTAAGAAGAAGAGCTGTTTTTCTTGGAACTATAAGCATATTTGTTGCCATCAACAATAATGCTTACAGCTGAATGTTTTCCTGTGAAGGCTGATGGAATAATTCCTGGTATTTTCCTGTACATCACTCTATAATCTTCTTTTTGAATAATGGAAATACCTCCTTTGATTTCAATGAGTTTTGGATCAGGCTCTCATTCTTCTGTGCTGTTGTTCTGTACAGATCTTAAAAAATCCCTAGAGAGAGACTGCTTTTAGAAAGATGAGAGTCCGAATCTTGATAAATCTTTACTCAGGCAAAACTTCTATTGAAATCAAGATCTCTTTTGGTGGAATAGAAACCAGGAGTTCTTTTACATATTCTTGGAGTTTCATTCATTCCACTTTACAAATCATCATTTAGCTGAGCCCGTACTTTATTTTCCAAATCACATTCACACAGTATTTAAATTAAACCCAATATTTACAACAATGACTAAAAAGAATATTGTACCTTTCCATTTCTTCCTTGAAAAGAGACATTAGTATGCCCTTAACAGAATTATCAAGATGATTGATGGTATAAATGGTTAAAACAATAGCAAAGCACATTTCAGGAGTATCTTACTATCCTGCTGTATGTACAAATGACCAGGCTAGAAGTTTATAATTGCACAGCAGCTATTAACCAGGCAGTCTCTGAATGATTATCAGACTACGTTTAGGTTGCAAGCTAAATACTTTATGGGAATATAATACTTTTTGGCTTGCAAGCTAAATAAATACTTAATAATGAGCTACAGAAAAACATTTGGGGCTAAATTATGGCTTTACGTACTAGAGAGCCCTAGGTGGGGGAAAAGGAGGAGACAGCTTCTTAGAGGCCCCAGTATTTTGATGGTGAAACTCACCAAGTCACAAAGTTGGTGATGGAGGTGAAGGAGAGCAGGAAACAGCAGAGGCTCCCTTCTGCTACGGGGAAAGGGAAACCTTGCTCTTTCCACTGCATTTCTTAGGGTCAGGATTTTGTCTCTGTCCTGTCAGACTTTTTCTGAGCCTGCAGCTATCCTGATAGTCCACGAGGTTCTCCCTGGCACTTCCCATGACTCATGCTCAGTACTGTACATAGTGTTGGGACCCAAGAGAAGAGAGGAGACGGCTGTGTCCATGCCCCTTGGAGAGAGCAATCCCCAGAAGGTCCACGGGCGTGGTGTGCTCCGACTGTCCCCCAGCCTCTGCCCCCAGCACCCTCCACTGGAGTGCAGGCAGGCTGCCAGAGGGGAGCCCAAGCACAGGCTGTCTGAGAGCCCTGGCTAATATGTGGGCATCAACTGCTAGGCAGCCTTAGGAACCATACTCTGCAGGCTGTGCAAACACAGCTTACTTCAGGTGTGCTCCTTCAGGTAGGACAAGCAGCACAGGACAGGCTGTGATTTGGCCTGCAGTATTGTCACTGCGTATGTGGCAAGCAGTCTGCATTAAGGATGGGCCTATCCTGCAATGGCAAGGCAGCAGGCACTGGAAAGCAATAGCATGTGATTATCTGTATGAAAACTTCTACTGGAAGAAACGCTGGACACACTAGGCACTCTGGATTTGCTGGATTTGGTCCAGCAAAACCCGTAAACTCACAAGCTATCTCACTGAAGCTGGTGGTATGACATGCACAAAGTATCAGGACCAACGTGCTGGGTGCTGCACAGTTTTATGCAGTTTAAGAGCCCTTTTCCCCATCTCACCTTCTTTGTTCCCCCCAATTCATATATACATTCAGATACCATGCCCCAGTATCACATACACATATAAAGGCTGCTTCCTCTTTACTAGAGGAAGAGACACATACAATCTATAAATACATATTGCACACTGTCACGTGTCACTTTAACACACATTTAAAATGAAGAATGTTAAAGATGCACATTCAAAGACAGGGGATTGTTTAAGACAGTCACATATATATCCTTAAATTTATCTCTTTCTGAGTTACCTCATATTATTTTTCAGTTACATGATCACATAAAATTTCTCCAATGATATAATCTCATCTACAGCACGCATATTGCGTGGATCCATTATTTACAGACAAAGAATTTATAGCTTGGTTTAAGGTTTGTGCCCATATTATGCCTTCATGAAAAGATGGGTTTATAACGGGAATGCTGACAGATCTATGCAAACAGATGCTCACTTAAACACAATGCACCATCAGAATGAGGACCTTAATATCAGCTGGATTTGATAAAAAGATGGCATCCCCCTTATAAACCCCTCCATTATACTTATAACAATATGCCTAACATAGCAAAGACTTCTCAACCTTAGAGTGACAGCATGTATTCTCATAAGCGAGTACCTGCTTAGCATGAGATTCACTGTTTCTACAAGATTTTCAATGCTAAGGCTACTTGCCACTGAGCATGTGGGAAATGTCACCTCTAGGAAACACTCTCACAGTTGAAAAATGTATTCTTTTCAGACTGTGTACGGTAGATGTTCTCTTAGGAAATACTGTAGTGGGCAACAAGTGCTTTCATTAGCATCATGATGTCACTTGTTTCAGAAATAAAAATGGCAGCCATGACATGCATAACGCTAAAACAAAGAGAAAAATACATAAAAAAATATATGCTAAGTTACTTCTCTGGGCAACCAGCTGCGGCAGGCGATCAGACTTCATCTCAGGAAAAGCAGTCTTTGAAGCTAGGCTGGCCAGAGAGGCACAGGCAGGCCAGAAGGTATTCAACTCTACCATAAATCGTCATGATTTACCAGGTCTACTTGTCTGACTAATACATTTGTATGAGATGAGGTGGTGTTTTCTATCCATGTGATAGATGGCAGACCCATATGATACATGGCACACAACATGTACCTTTCACCAGCGAACTGGTTAGTCTGCTCATAAATCTCCCTACCGAAGGCTGTTCCTAGTGTAAGCAAATCTGTGATTGGCTTCGCTTTTTTTTAACCTCTGTGTCACAGAAACAATTTACTTCCCACCAAAATCTACAGGATTTCATCTCAGATGAGATCAATCCAAAATCCAGGATCAGAAGTATTTTCTTAGGGATTAGCGATATTTAAAAAAAACCACCAACAAACAATGTTTTGTGTCTAAAGGCTATTTAGATCTTGGGGATGGGGATAAAAACCCTAATGTAGGCATCTCTCTCTCATCAAGTGTTCAAGGTGAGGTGAGATGACACTAGGCTTAAGTCATTCACTCAATATCATGCTAACACAACAGGAACCGAGCAGCTTAAAGGGAAACTTTTAACTTTCAGATCATCTTTCCTTCTCACAGGTGTGCGCAGTTAAGATTCATAGCACAAAATCAACTCAGCTTAGCCACTGAGATGAAAACTAACACCAGCCCAGGATGAAACTATAATCTGGTTATAAACTGCAGCAGTTTCATTTCCTCCTGTGTAGCTGTCCCAGTTCTCACCAGTAGGCAATTTGGATTGCAACATTTAGCACTTTCAAAGTGTGTGAATTAACTGTTGCCTTTAGCATGGCATAAACAAAGCAGATGATGATGTACAGAGGAAAAAGCATTCGCTAAGTCTTGTTTGGGATGACCTACATAAAGTACTTCTGGCTTCTCCAATGATTAGTAATAAAAGCCAGACTAATCCCACGTCAATTAAACCTTTATTCCTCCCACGCCATAAAATTT